AACACATTATCACTATTTTCACTTATATGTAGATTAGTTAATACTAAAGGGTTCAAAACTTATTAATAGAAAATACATACATTATGTTTGAGCAGTCGCAAGATGCGTTTGCAATTACGTATTTAATGAAGATTTGACAAAAGTATTATTCATATTATCTTGCTTCATATATTATCCTAAATATAGTTTTAAACTGATTTTAATATTTATGGTATTACGGTTAAATATATTGATTTGAATTAATTGGTGCATATGTGTACGTCTATGATCTATACTTATCTATACCAATCTGTTTGCGACTGTTTAAATGGAAAACCCGTTGGAAAACATTGGATTCGACGACTTGTATGCCATTCGCCAAACAGGAGTCGCGCCAAACGTTAAGCTGTTGAGCGACTGAACGCGAGTTAATATCGCGTAAACCGTATTCGCGTTTCTGTTCGTCGGATAACAAGGCGTTCACATCGGGTGTGGCCAACAGGTGGGCCATAATCACGCCGTTTGGCGCCAATAATCGTCTCAATACTGCCATTAATTGGTCGGCATTGCGGATGAACTGAAGAGCACCGTTCGAGAATACAAGCGACACCCGGCCCTCCAGACGCCTAATCCTATCGGGCAACTCGTCCCACGAGAGACTCATGTCGACCGTCCAGTACTCGATAGTGTCCACAGATTTGTGTTCCCGGTCCGCGAACTCAACCATTTGGGGATCGATGTCCACGCCTACGACCCGCCGATGTGTCACCCGTTGGGCCAACAGTTCCGTCTCCCGTCCCGTTCCGCACCCGATGTCTAATATGATGTCGTATTCCCTGACAAAAGCAATTCAATTATATGATACGCTTTAATTGGGCACCAAATTAATGATCATTTTGTGTATTATTTGCTTATTTGTCAAAAACATACTTATTTTCATTGACGACACAATCCATGAGTTTTTGAGCCAATTGTTTGGGAAAATCACTCATCGGTTCGTAATTCGTGGGATTGATATTCATGTCGATGTGTTTCACTAGTATTTTACAGATTGTAAAGATATTATATTGCAATTAGAAATCAACTTATAACTTATAATTAGCAAACTGCACATATACAGTATCAGGGATAATATTATTTAGATATATTTGTCGAATGAATAGACAAATTGTTTAATTCTAGAACTTAAAATGATCAATTAAATATGGCACACACTTTATTGCCATACATTGCACGCCATACGCCATATGGCGAATGGTAGAAAGTATGTTGAAACTAGAAAAGGGCACCTAGGAAAAGTGCCTTGAACCTAATGCCAACCTGTAAATAGTTCCGTGAAAATTATTGCACCCAATAAAATGTGCCATACAATATATACCACACAGTATAATGTGACATACCATTAATTTTTAAAACAAAACTTTTTAATCAATCATAATTAATCATAATTAAAATATATTTTGAGTTATTTTTAAATATAACTAGTGATGCATTATATTCTATTTATAAAATGGTTCACTAGAACAGTAGACAATTAGTTATATGGCACATTGTACTTGTGCAATTATGGAATTTTTTA